TGTGTATGCAGAATTCTTACCTACTAGTTTCCCAAGTTTCTTTTTTCCTCTGCGTCGCGTCGTCGAAAACTTTCCGACGAGAAAATGACGCGTTTTCCACCACAGCTAAAGCCGTTCGCGAGCGGCGGGGTCGAGCTTGGATGCGATTTCGTCCGAACTCAAGAGAACGGCGTCGACGAACGGCGTTTAACGATCCGGAAATGTTGTAAGTGTGGAGATTAAAGTGTATTCGTACACGTAGCTGCGACCTGTGCAGCAGCACTTTCCTTCCTTCTTCCATTCTCCCATTCTCCCATTCACACCACCTTCGGAATGACACGTTGGGAACGGAGCCAAGCCGACTCTAAAACGTGCTATAGGAATGCTCCCCAAATGGGAATACTTCTTCCAGCTTTTAATTCAAGTTTAAATATCAAGCAAAATAATTATCTGGCTGAGTAACGCGAAACATGCAGGCAGCCTTTCAAATATTAGTTAAAGTATACGTGCAATTTTTATTAATGCAAATAAGTACGAGCTATAAATTACATACAAGCGAGTAAAAAAACAATGTTCTAATAAAAACGAGCGAGATGTTGCTACAGCCCGCTCTTAGTTTTTATAAATGATTACAATAAAACATAAAACAGCTGCAAACGCAACAATACGAAAGAGAATTTTTTGAAATGGAATGAAAACAAGAAATGTAAATCCACAATTAAATTTTTGCAAAATAAAAACTTTCTCATCTTTCTCATTTTTCCTTTTTTTTTTAACAAAACTTGAATAAAATAAGATTTATGTAATATCGCTATTTATTTATTGAAAATAACGTAATAAAATTTAACAGAGCTCTTGATAATTCTTGTCAAGAAAGAAATAATAATAACTGTAATAATAATAATAATGAATAATTGAAAAATAATATAATATATTTGAATCAAAAATAATATGAGTAGAAGTATACAAGTCTCTTACTTAAATTACAAACGCAACGTCGTGAATGTCAGCTTGATTTTTAAGATTTATCTATTGAGCCGTATCTCGAAAACTGGTTTTAGCCGGGTTTCTTAGCAGAATCGCGAACACATAAATACGGGTTATTATAGAATATCGAGATTAGAAAAAGCCGTTGTTATAAGCTTACGCTTTGTACATGTACATGAGCGTAATCGAAGCGGCATGATTGATTCGCTGATTCGCTGAACAAATTCATGTGTATTCACTCGTAAAATACGCCCGTGAGCCGTACAGGCGGATGTAGCTTTATCTGGGCCCCATCATTCACGTTAATTCCACTTAAGCACCGATGCACCTGGCTCGCGAGCTCAACGCGACGAACGCACGATGCACTCGGCAAAAATGAAGAGACGAATGCCATGCAAATCGAGCATTCGAAGTGCGCACAAGGGCACCTTATGCAGCGGCACACAGTGGAACCGAGTGGCCGAATGCGTCTGTGTGGCAGTTGGAGCGAATGAAAGATGGCAGTGTACGTATTGTAGAAAGTTGGAACAAACGGGGCACTAAATTCACATGATTTCTCTCATCGTTCTCTCTAGGCGGGGAGACTCGCGTGGTTTACTCGGCCGTTGCGCCGGCGCCGGTGTCGAATGTTTGCGTTGGCATAAATAATTGACCAAAAAACAGCTGAAAGAGGATTTAATTCGAGAAAGGGGACGTAAAAAAAAAGCCTACTGTTCGCTCGATGTGAAACGCTGCCTCGCTTCTTCTCCTCGAAATGATGATTACCCAAAAAACAAACGGACTGAGATAAGTGGGAGCATATTAATAAATGCATGACGCTTCGCCCTCCGGCAAAAGTGCATATCAATTCAGAAACGCGAACATAATCAAGTCTCCGTAATTACGAGGAAATGATTAACTCTTTGTATTTAAACTGCGCCCGCGAGGCATAAGAAGCTCGACATTCTCCCGCGAGGAAAGTCGTGCGAAGCACACGCGGATCGATAATATAATCAGCTTAGGCGAATGCACGAACGGTTTATTTTCCATATAATTTTTATCTTTAATAGATTACATTTAGCATACGTAATGCAAGAAAAGACTTTTGAAACGCTGTGCGAGGCAACACGCGGTCGCTGCGGGGAACGTATCTCGTGATGGCGAGGCATGAATGCCGCATTAGAGCGCGCGTGTATTTGCGACGAGATTATCCACGGGCATAATGATTAATTGTACGTCACGATTGATCTAATCATCGACCAAGAAACGAATGCCGTGTCTCGGACACAATCGGCCGTGCGAGCGGGACGGTTAAAGGTTGACTGCACTCTGTGACCTTAATTACTATGTCGACTAATCGATCGCGCGCATTGTGATTGTGCTATGCTTGACACGGGTACCAGCATACGCAACCGCAGGTTGAATAGCATCTTAATTACCGGTTGAATAATCCGATTCAGCCACTTGTGTACGTATCGATAGTCTCTGAGTCTTATGTCACTTGAATCGGAAAAGATTACGAAATTATCGAACTGTGTTCCGGAAGTGACTCGAAGAGAAATAGCGTTTAAATAAATTCTGCTTTATCTCGTTTCTTTTCTTTTTTTATATGAAACTCATTAATAGTTGGACCTTGTCTCAGGACTCATTAATGTGAAATCAGATCTTTTGAAAGAGATACATTTATCACCTACGAGAGTGATTTGTGCGAAAATTGAGAATAAATTCCTGAAATCCATGAATTCATGTATCACGATCGTAACGCGATATAAGATGCTAGTCGCCGCGTTTATCGCCACGAATATTTTTGTCGTGAAATAACGAGTTGCAGAATGGCTCTAAGCTCAATAGATAAGCATCGGGGAACGGTCGGCGGTAGTCGGTGGAACCCCATCACCCCCCCCCTTCGTTAATTAGCCAAAAAGTGAGGTCTCTCGTATAGTCCCCCTCGCTTTTCTTTTCCTACGCGCCACGACGGCACCATCGTGAATAAAGTACGGTCTCGCGTTCTCCTCCCCGCGGAACCTCCTGGTATCCCACGACTAACCAGTACATACATATAAGCTCTCGCCCCCTCGCATACAAGAGGAGAACCAGCCAAAGAGCCCCACGGCGCTCTCCGTAATTCTTTCTCCAGCTCGCAGCATCTTCACCGGGTCTCTCTCTTTCCGTCTTCTTCTCCCATACCGAACGGCCGATCCTAATCTCGATAATGACGCGTAATGGCTGCTGGCGTGAATGTAGCTCTTTGTCCGTGGCTCCTGTACCGGTCGTATATCTGTCCGGTACGAGAACCGCGCCATTTCACCCCGGCGAAAAGCACGGGGAAGGCCGAAACGGCCGTTTCCAGACTCTTTTTCTGCGTCCATGTCGTGTCCCCCTTTCGACCCTCCACCCCGCACTTTTGTCTCTTTCCAACCCTTTCCCGCACCAATCTCCTGGCAAGACGCCTTTTCGAGAATCACTCTGTTCTGCGTAACGTCAGGCCCACGAGACGTTGGTTGTGCATGATTTTTTTGGAACTTTATTTTTGCAGAAGCGGTTATGAGAGTTCGATGACCACGGGCCCGCGGACCATCGACGCTACCATGGACTACCTGCAGACGTGCCTCATCTTTTACCTGCTGATCCTCTGCTTCTGCGGCGGACGTTCCATAGACATATGTGAGTAGATATATTAATCCGGTCCAATTCAATAACATTTCGAATCG